TGCCCCCCCCAAATCCATCCACATCCTGATCCCCAGAACCTGTAATATTACATGGCAAAGGGGAATTAAGGTATCAGATGGAATTAAGGTTGCTCATCAGCTGACCTTAAAATAGGGAGATGATCCTGGATTATCTTGGTGGGCTCAATGTCATCATGGGGGTCTTTAAAAGTAGAAGAGGGAGACAGAGGGCAGCTCAGAAAGATAGTCTTTTTCTCAAGAACTCTCAGACAGTTTATTAAGTGGTTTGCGTAAACCAAAGACACTGATTTAACAAGTCTGGTTATTTGGTTTCTCCTGGTAACCTTTGGTTCTATTCTAGTAGTAATCAGATTATGAATTTTAGAAGAATGGGGGCGCTCCCCAATAAAGGTGACAGCACCAGTAAGTAACTGCTAATGTTGAGGGAGAACGCCCAAGATATATGAAGGAGAAAATGGCAATAGGTTAGGACCATTTAGCATCAGGACAACAGCCTTCTGTATCTCGGGACTGCCTGGAGGCATTACGCTCTAGTGGCAGACAAGAACTGAATTTCACAACAATGACATAGCATCATTCATGGAAAGTATGTAATATAGATTTGTGGGATATTTCCAGAAAATTCATGTAGTTGAACCCCTGAAATGATAAATCAGACATTGTGAGGGGTGGGTTTAGATGGAGGGAAGAATGCAGGTAGGATAGGGAGAGCACAGATAGTGTCAAATGCCACTTATGTCACTTGCTAGTCACATTGCTTCTTGTCTGAACCCAGTTTTCTACAAAGCTGTATGCTCCAAGAAGATAGGACTATCTTAATAATTACTGTTAGCTTTTATTGCAGTGATAAGCAGTGATCCTAACAGACATCCTCTCGTGTAATGCTCACGCTAAGCCTATGAGGTATGTGCTGACTGTCCATTTAGAGTGGGGGAACTTGAGTCATGAGGAACTGCTAAGCAATCTGTTCAAGGTCACACTGCTACCAGATTGTAGAGCTGTTAGAGACGGGGGCCGGTTTCTTAACCAGTGCTCTCTGACACCTCAGCATCTATCAGGGAGCTTGACACCTACAAGGTCTCCAAACTTACAAACAGATAAATGGAATAAGTCTGAAAAAAAATGCAAGGATTAAATCATTTAATCTGCTTATAATGGAGCACTTAATAAATAAGTTGTTTTCCTTTGGAGTGGTAGGCTTTTCCCTCTATTTCACTGAAGAATCCCTGTGAGCTAGCTATTTTCAAATGAGAAGCCAGGTACACATATGATAATCACTGGCGATTTTTCAAAAAACCCATGGTCCTGAGCAGGCTCTCTTTTGTCTTCCTACCCAAATTCTGCGTTGTCACTGTGGGCTGAATTTCTATCTGGGAATTAAAGAAAGCTAACATGTGACTCTGCAAACACATTCTCATATCCTCCCTCCAGCTCGGCCAGCAGACCATCTCTGCTAGGAGGTGCCTCGGCTCCTGAATGGCTGAGTGTGGAGTCTCACAGTGGAACTTAATTTCAGAGTTATCTGGAGGCACAAGTAAAAGTTAGGCAGTGAGCAGAACAATTCTGCTATTAGAGCCAAGCAGTCAGGTACAGAACACGAGGGTGAAAACTAAAACTAACACACACGCGTGCACACCCCTTCTACCTGCCTTAAACTGCAGAGGCTATCCTGAGAGAAAGGAGAGATTACTAACCCACATCACAGGTTTAGAAAGAGATATCAGCCCTACTATTTTCCTCTTGCAATTCTATCAAAGTGACAAGAGAGTATTTTCCATTGAACGAAAACTAGATAAAAGACCATGAGAGACCAACTAGAGAGTTGTGACCCCATCAGACAAAGATCCACGGAGGGGGCTTGCTGTAGGCTCCTGATGGTGCTTATCATTGAGGAGCAAATACCGAAAGTTCAAGAGATGTTCCTTGCTCTCAGAGACATCCTCCACTCACTCACCACTCCACAGAGCAGCCAGAACATGACTAAACCAGGGGCTCTATCGGTGGGCCCCAGAGACTTCTGGGCTGGAGACAAGCCTCAGGAGGTTTCATACAGACCCTGTGGCCTAAATTTGGTCTCAGCCTTCATCATCCCTCCAACTAGTGTAAAGCAGCTGGCTGGACACTGGGGGATAAAAACTGAATAAAAGGAAGTTCCTGAAGCCATTGACTGCAAGCTCCAGGCTTTGTGTGTGGTCACAGGGACTGGAAGCACTGCTCTAAACTGGAGTCAGAGCGCCACAGTGCACAGAGTTCCGGAACTGGGGCAGAGCTTCGAAAAAGTCAACATCTCAGAACCTTTATTGTGTCTGCCTGTAAAACTAAACAGCAGAAACAGGTGGTGTCGAAATTCCTTCCATGTGAAGTTTCAAATAAGAAAAACAGGTTTTATTTATTAGCTCCTTGAATTTGATAATTCAGGATGATGACACTCATAGTCTAGAATGTGATCCTGATTAGGTGATGGGGGGGTGCAGATGACAAATTGATTTACAGTGAGAGAATTCCAGATAAGTGATTATACAAAAGAGAAAATCAAAGTTCATTTTAACTATGCCCCCTCCCTCTTATCCCTTACCTCAGATATACTAAATCCACATCACTGGCTTCTCATGACCACTAGATTTACAAGCTCATTAAAAATTCTTTTTTAATCACTCCATGAAAGAAAAACTATGACTATTACTATGATTTAAATGCCTACAGCAGTACAGCAGGATTTAGGGGAGTTTATTAATACCTTAGGCAAAAGGTGTTATGAATACATCATTTGGATACACACTTTTTTTTTTTTAAAGAGTACGCTGATCTTCCCCAGTGAGTTGTTAACATTTAACTTACGGTGTCACTGTCCTATTAATACCTTAGGCAAAAGGTGTTATGAATACATCATTTGGATACACACTTTTTTTTTTTAAAGAGTACGCTGATCTTCCCCAGTGAGTTGTTAACATTTAACTTACGGTGTCACTGTCTCACTGAACTGGATCAGGTAAACTGTTTCCTCAATTCCTCTGCTCCATGGTTCTCTCCATCAACGCCCACCCCAGGATTCAAGATGAGGTACTGGTTTCTCAGGCCCCTCCTGGGCATCAAAATCACCTTGGGAGACTTTAAATACAAATTTTAGCCCTTTTTCCCCCAATTATGATTCAATTGGTCTGGGTAGGGCCAGGAAAGCAATAGAATGTTAAGCACCCCAAGAGATGCTAAGATGTAGCCAGGGTTGAGAACTATTAAGTTAATGTGTCCACCTAACCAGGCAGATAGTAAGTGAGGGGCGGGGGGAAAGTGGGAGAAAAACAGGTCTGAGGGGGGAGGGTGGCAGAGGAAAGAGAGGAGGGGACTGTGTTGAACCAGAGACCCAGCACCCCATCTAGAGAGGGCAGCCACTTCTTGGCTCCAACCAGACAACCTGAGTGAAGACCACCACCTGGGGTGGCCAGATCTTCCAATCTTCCAGAGAAGCCAGAAACCCAGAGTTTTGGTCAAATCTGTATTTTTAATCACTGGCACTAATACAGATTTTTTTTTTTTTAATTCTTAGTGGGCCAAATAAAACACATCTGCGGCCTTCTGTTACTAACCATGACCCTGACTGAGCCCATTGATGGTGACGCTGTAGAGGCTTATAGAAAGACTGAAGGAAAAGACAAGACCCTGAGCTCAAAGGAATTTATGATCTTGCTTAGCTGCTCTGTCTACCTCATTACAGGTGTCTGTTACTTTATCATAATTGCTCAACCATTCTTAACTTTCTAGACAGTAGCTGGTATTGTTCTCAATCAAATACCAATTTCTGATCATCACCTTCAAAGGCTTCAGAGCACTAGATTCCAGCCCTCATTCACTACTCAACACAAGCTTATGGCTTAGTCATATCTAACTGCTAATCTTAAGAAATGGAGAGAAAGTTTAAAAGTCACCTAGTGAGAGAGATGCAGACTCCAGGATCCATTAAGTCTAAGTGACTTTCCCACAAAGCCTGTTGAAGATAGGGTGACCAACTTGTCCCAGTGTTAACACTGGAAGCATTTCCTGTCCTAGGAAATCTTCCAGTCCCAGGCAAAGTAGAATGGGTGGTCACCCTACCTGAAGGACAGAGCCACATTGCTGTCTCTTGTGAATGCACCCCTATAATCTTGTAATTCTTGATACATGCACACATATTTGACTGTTAGTTTTACCTTTGCTTCCTGTTAAGATTTAAACTCCTTGCAGGAAGAAATTCAAGTCCTTCTGTGAACTGAGTACTTAATATTTGTTGGGCAAAGTCCTTGTAGCCCCGGGGTCAATAAAGACACTTGCTAATGGTGTCCTTAGAAAACAGCAGCATCCTTTACTGCAGGAACTGCTCTAAAAAGCCTGCCCCCAGCCTCCTTAGCCCCCAGTAACCTGCTTCACCTCTTCCATAACAATGTATGAGAAACACAAAGAAAGGAATCAGATGAACAGCTTTCAGCTGGCTGCTTCCTTCTCTCGCTGGACCACAAAGTCTCCTTCCTACTCTAATGAGATTATCACCTTTCATCAGGAGACACAGCATGTAGTGTGTTCCCAAGTCTCCATTCAGAGTTACACCTCAGAAGGCAGCTTCTCAGCTGTGAAAGAAGTCAGCCTTGGACCCTCTCTCAGGAGTCTGCTTTGGAATTATTCAAAAAGGGCCACGGCTGAACCCAGAGCATTTTGCATGGATGGAGAAGCAATCTGGTGTGATAGAAAGGCTTAGGAATGAGATCCAGATTCAAGTCTCGGCACTGACAAACTAGCCCTGAGCCCCCTCTTGGGGAAATTTCAGAAATGCAGATCCAGTTTCCTTGTCTGTAAAAAGTCTACCTTTTAGGGCTGTAATTTGCCAAGGGCCTGCCTTGTCCAGTGCCTGACCCTTGATGAGAGGTGGGTGTTACTGAGGAAGATTCATGACCCCTCTAAGGAGCCCGAGAGGCCTCTGCGAGTCAGGTGGAAGAACCTATCCTAAAAACATAAAATGATCTTAAAACATCAAATCTGCTTTTACTGACCTAGTTTCATTCTGAAGCAGACCATGGTTTTCTTCCTGCTCTTCAGTTCCTTTTTCTCAAAAGATGTAAGCATGTCTGTGTGAAACACAAAATGCAGGCAAGTGTCAGCAAAATGTCACCACAACTGATATGAAGGATTTTTTTTATCTTGTCCATCAGTTTTGATAAGGAAGCCAAGCAGCCCTCAGTGACCATGCTCGATTCACAGTATATTGATAAAAATTGCTACTTCAAAGAATTTCCTCGGGTCAGCATCTAAAAGTCTAAAACCCATTTCAATAGATTCATTATGACCCACAATAATATTCCATGTCTCAAAGCAAAACTACACTTTATGATTCATTGCACAGAGCCACTCTCGAGTAGACACTCTTTTAGAATTATGACCAAAACAAGACCAAAGAACAAGAAGCCTTGTGCCCTTCTGATTTACAATTTACGTAAGATAAAACAAAGCAAGATTTACTCATGCCTGGGAAACAATTCACAATGACAAAATTTTAAGTTAACTGAATCCTAAGATTCAAGAAGAATAAATGTCCGTACTATTCTTATAGTATAAAACCTGTTGTGGCAGTTCTGAGTTTTTACATAAGAAAGTAAGACCTGAGGTCACTAGATAGAATTACATTGCTCACATTTATTCTTGGCAAGCTCTCGGCTATAATCCACTTTACAAGGATAAACAAGTGGTTGCCATCAAAATCACACACACCCCACACCGACACACCACACCCACCACCACTCAAAGAATCATGTCCATACCATTCCTAAATTAAAATGTGTTATTTCTTTATAGGGACGCAACAGCTCTCGTAACAGGAAGTGCTACATTCTAACCTGGCAAGTGAAATTAAGTAAATTAAAAAGCATTACTGAGGTCTGTAGTCTACATAACTATAACCAATCCATGAAAATTTCCTGGTTCGATATTGTAACTAAAGGAAATTATGAAATGGCACCATTAGGGGAAGTTACGTTCTTGGGACTATTTGTATTGTTTTTACAGCTTCCTGTGCTATAATTATTCTAGAATAAAGTTACTGTTTAAGCATTATTTATTGGGTTTCTTACTGTTTTGCTAGGAAGGTTTTTCAGGATGCAAAAGCCCTTTCCCAGTATCCCCCCCTTCTGCTTGTGGGTCCAGCATGAGATCCACACCTAAATAATTTGAAAAGGATCCTCAAATGACGCTGAAAATCCTCCCTTGTTCAGTGAGAACCAGCACCACCAATGATGTACACCACTGAAAACACTGAAGAGTGGCGAGACCACCATATTTGCTCTTGGATGCTGGGTGCAGGGTGGTTTTGAAGGCAGTGAGGCTGACCCAGTGGGGTAGCTCAGGCAAACCTGGGTGAGGAGGGAGTCTGACAAAGGCCCAAACAGGGTAGTGGCAGTCATGGTAGGTAGAGATCGGAGCTAGAAACATTTAAGAGACCAAACCAGCAGGACAATGGCTAACTGGAGGGAATGAGGAAGACGGAGGAGCCTCGGATGACCGCTAGATTCCCAGGGTAGGCAGCCGAGGAAAAGGTGGCATGGCATTTACCAAGACAGGAAAACAGGGGCCGGTCTGGGAGGGAGAATGAGGAAGGCTGCCTGAAGGTTCTACAAGGCAACAACAGCGCCATATCTTATATTGCTGACAGAACAGACTTCTTTGTCTAGTGGGAGAATCCTTTCTTCCTCATCTGACTGGGCATAAAGTACCAGGAGAAGGACAACTTGGCACAGCAGGTAAGAAGGGCTGGCTACTGTCCGCACAACAGCCACTTGGCCCTGCCCTGGTCAAATCATTTGCACAGACAACCACAAACCCAGTCATCTGGCCCCAAATACCTACACTGGGTAAAGAGCTACTCACCGAGCTGTTCCCCACAAGCTCTAGAGGCTCTGGGCTTCTAGCATCCCTATAAAAAGGATTCAACTCCAGAGGGTGAGGGAGAGGAGCACTGATCAAGAAATCACACAGCTATTCATTTCACTTTGCAATAATCTCCCTTTAAGAAATGGTTTTCCAAAGTAAAAACAAAAATTCTATATAAGAGAAAAATCAAAAAAGCCTAAAATGATTTCCTGACATGTGGATGATTAATTTGTACATTGATAACACAGGCAGCACTTACCACTCACCACTGAGGAATGTGGTTTATCTGATGATTATTTGTCTAGATTATGAACCTTTTTTGGTAACAGCTTTGAGGTTATAATTCACATACAACACAATTCATCCATTTAAAGTGTGCAAAGCACTATCACAATCTCACACACATTTTAGTATATTCAGAGTTGCACAACTATCACAACAATCAGTTTTGGAACATTTCTATCATTCCAAAAAAGAAATTCGTGGCTTTCAGCTATCACTTCCTAATCCCCCACCCTCCCCTACCAGCCCTAGTCAACCAATAATCTACTTTGTATCTCTGTAGATATGCCTATTCTGGACATTTCATATAAAATGGATGTGGTCTTTTGTGACAGGTTTCTTTTTCTTAGCATGTTTTCGAGGTTCATCCATGTTGTAGCATATATATTGGTACTTTGTTTTGTTTATGGCTAAATTAATATTTGATTCTCTGGAGATATCACATTTTGTAGATCTATACATGAGTTAATGGCTATTGTTAATAAAGCTGCTATAAACATTTGTGTACAATTGTGTGTGTACATATATTTTTATTCTCTTGGGTATATACCTAAAAGTGGAATTGCTAGGTCACACGGTGACTGTTTAACATTGAGGCATTGTTAAAATGCCTTCCACAGTAACTGCACCATTTTATGTTCCCACCAGTGTATAAAGGTTCCAATATCTCTATATCCTTGCCAATACTTATCTTTTGATTACAGCCATTCTAGTAGGTATGAAGTGGTATCTCACTGTGGTTTTGATATGCATTTTCCTGATGACTGGTGATGGTGAGCACCTTTTCATTGCTATATTTTTGTGGGAAATAGCTATTCAGATCCCTTGCCCATTTTTTAATTGAGTTGTCTTTTTGTTACTGAGTTGTAAGAGTTATTTACATATTCTAAATACAAGCCCCTTTTCAGATATATAATTTGCAAATATTTTCTCCCATTCTGTGGGTATGTTATAAATCTTATCTATTTCCAAATATAACTGATACTGTAACTAATAAAATGATTCTTATCTCTGTCCATTTATAATGCACTTAAATCATTTTCTAGCAATATATATCACCATTTTATATGTTTTTTTAAAAACATACGTGGGCATTTCATGAACTCCTTACTACATATTTATTTTAAAAGATAAAACCATGACTTTTACAAATATAAAATGAATGTATCAAAAATGTTACTTAACTCATCAATGAGTGAGGGAACCAGAAAAATGTTACAGCAAGTCCAAAAGAGAATACAAAAGACAAAACAGGTAGGCAATCGGGAATGCTGATTTGCTAATATAGAGAGAACTAGTTTCCAGGGAAGGAGCAATAGCACCTCCACTGGGCAAAATTCATGTACATTTCTGTGAACAAGAATCATTTTCATTACTATCATTTTCCTACAACTTGCTGAAATGTAAAACAGTTCAAAGAAAATAAAGGACACAGATAATCCTGAAGGGTGCACTGGATACTAAGTAATCTTTTTCTCCCATTTCAGAGTCTTCCACAATTTTTTCTTGCCTTTTTTTTTTTTTTAATGTTGTATTATGTCAGTCAGGGTCCAATGAGGAGATGGAAACAAATTTGAACTAGGAAGCTTAATATAAATATCTTAATTACAACCCAGTATTGTGCTAAAAAGATACTGACCAGTGAGAAGTAATACGAGGAACTCTGAAGCACACAGGGAAGACCAGCTATAGCAGCAGCCACTAACCCTAGGACTGAGAAGAACACGCAAGGAAGAGGCACCCAGCCTGGGGGTGGAGATCCTGATTCAGCTGGAGAAGGCACAATCTGACTTACTGGGTGGCAAGGAAGTCACTATGGTGCCCTCTAGGCTGCCAGGAAAGCAGTTCACAGGAAGATATCTCGCTGGAGGCACTCCACTACAAGATTGCCCAAGGCGGTGCCAGAGGGAGCTGCTGGCCACCACACACCGTAAGAGGAGGCCCCTGGAGAAGACACACAGGAAGAGCCTTCTAGGAGTCCCCAGGTGAACCAGGAAGCAAAAGCCTTTCCTCCTGCAATATCTCTCCAGCGCCCTCTACTGACAAAGTTCAACATTGTGCCAGCTGCCAAGGAAAAACATTTAGGGGGCCCAGATCTAATTTCACAGAGCAGGCAAGGAGAATGGAGTTGAGAGGACAGAAATCAGTGACTGGTATGTTTGCTATGGTCAAATACATTTAGTAAATGCCAGATGTTTACCTAGGGAAAACACTTGTGTAGTATGCTCTAGTTAGAGGTCTTTAGGCAACCTGGGCACTAAAAGTAAAACGAGGATTCTAATCAAGTCTTTTCTTAATTTGTCAAGAGGTGACCCTGAGTGTTTATCCATCTACAATGCTAAGAATCCTTCTCAACTTTCCTGTGAATTGTCATCTTCCCCTTCCAAGGAGCACATTTCTTAGTTTCTATTTCACCTGTCCTTTTCCTCCCCTCCCACACACACCCACCCATGCTCACCTGTAGGGAAAATAAAGGAAAATGGTCAGAGTCCTTCAGGTGTTCAGAATCTTGCCGAGCATTTGATGTAAATATGCATGTGTGCCCAAGTGTTCCTTGGCTATTGTCTGATGTAGAGGCACATGGGCACCTAGGTGTTCCTGGGCTGTCTGATTCACACCAAGGTGTCCTGGGTTATCAGACTTAAGTATAAAGGACAAACGGCTCTGATCCACAGGGTGTTTCCCACACCCAACCCCTCTATCCCTGCCAGGCCACAGGGAGGCTGCTACTGCTGCTGGAGGCTGTTCCTGCAAGCTGTTGCTGCCAGGGTCCCCAGGACCCTCCAGGAGGCCACCGCTGCCACTGCTGCTGGAGGCTGCTGTAAAGTAAGCTGCTGCTGCTGCTGAGGACTGACCTCATATCATCTGCCCATGGTTCCCAGGATCTTTTTCCTATTACCTAGCTTGTGGACCTGCAGGTGAGGG